CCCCCCCCGGCCCCGGCCCCGGCCCCGCCCCGCCCCACCCTCTCCCTCGCTCCGCCTCCTCCCCAGCCCTGCCCCAACCCCGTCCCAGATCCCCTCGCCCCGCCCCTCGCCCCTGCCCTGCCCCGCCCTTTTCCCCTCGCCCCGCCCCTCCCCTCCTCGGGACCCTGGGTTTGACCTCGTCCGGCTTTGCTCTCCCAGGAGTGGGCGCCATGACCTGGTCCCCTCTGGCCTGTGGCATCGTGTCCGGAAAGTACGACAGTGGCATCCCGCCCTACTCGAGAGCCTCCTTGAAGGTGAAGAAGCGGCCGGGCTCGGGGAGGGGACAGGCAGGACGGGCATTTTGGAGGGGTGGGGCCTTTGGGCAGACACGTTGGTGCTGGGCGGGACTTCCCTGGGCCACTGTCTGCGGGAAGGTTCGGAACATGGGAACTTGGAGCCCCAGCTGGCCTGACCCCATGTCTAGAAAGGCTGCCCACCTGTGGGACATCCCCCACAGGATCCCCCGCCCTCCTGCCCTCCCCCCAGTTTCAGCCCTCACAACCTGCTCTGGATCCGTATGTGCCCCCTGGGATGCCTCCTCCCCCTGTAGACACCCCGCACACGCTCTCTGGCCCATCCCTGAGACCTCTGGGCTGAGAGCTGTGGGGTTTCTTCAGTGTCCCTCAGAGATGCCCCCCTGGGATAATTCCCCCCGGCCCACATACAGGCGCGCGCACACACACACATACACACCTCGGAGTGGGGACTCAGGAGGGTCTACAGGCTGCAGGGGTCGGGGGTCAAGGAGCAGGGAGAGAAAGGCCTGCCCAGGCCGGGGCAGAGCCAGTACTGGAGACCCCAGCCCCAGATTCAAGAGCAGGATGGCCTGTCCCCCCCTCGACTCCTGCCCAGCCCCCAGCAAGCCTCCCTGGGGGCTCCCTGACTTTGCTGTGGACACACCTCCTGGGCCGCCCAGCCTCCCAGGAGAAGGGAAGGTCGGCTTGTCCACCTCCTTGTCAGCTCCCCGACAGCTCACAGGCTTCAGATGCAACGGTTCCCATCCTTCCAGCTGCCCAGGTCTGGACCACAGCAGGACATGGTTAGGCCAGGGCCGGGGGGTGCTGCCGTGCCCCAAATCATCATTTTGTGCCATGCACACAGAGGTCCAGGTGACCTGCCCTCACCTGTGGGCTGTGCTGTGCCTCCACCCCACAACCAGGGCTACCAGTGGCTGAAGGACAAGATCCTGAGTGAGGAGGGCCGGCGCCAGCAGGCCAAGCTGAAGGAGCTGCAGGCCATCGCCGAGCGCCTGGGCTGCACCCTCCCCCAGCTGGCCATAGGTAAGAGGCCGGGGAGCAGGGTGGAGACCGGTGTCCCAGGGAGATGTCGGGAGTCCCTGAGTGCTCGGGCCACGCCCCCTCCACCAGCCAGCTGTGGGTAACGTGCTCCCACATTCATGGGGAGAGGATTGGGGGGGCGTCCCTGAGCACTTGGGCCATCTCTCCACTGGCGGCAGTTGGTGCCAGGGTCTCCACAGCACTGCTGAGCCCCTGGTTTGCCATGCCGCTCCGGGGCACCCTCAGCCCCATGCCCAGGAGGCTGGCCTAGGCAGGGTCAGGGCAGAACCAGAGAGGGCCCTGCCGTGGATGGGCCTCCCTCACCTCTGGTCTTGCTGCTCCCCAGCCTGGTGCCTGAGGAACGAGGGGGTCAGCTCCGTGCTCCTGGGCGCTTCCAGCACAGACCAGCTGATGGAGAATATTGGAGCAATACAGGTGAGTGGAGGCCGCCAGCCTTGCAGGCCCTGGGCAAAGCTCAGGGTCTCAGCCAGTCACCTGTCCAGCACGTACTTATTGAGCACCTACTACATACCAGACACTGTTCAAGGCACCTGGGCTACAGCAGTGAACCACCAAAAAGCCTTGCTCTCGAAGAGCTGGCTTTCTAGCTGGAACAGATGGAAAACACTAAATGCGAGAAATAAGATTAGAATATGTGTCGGAGGGTGATAAGGACTCTGGAAAAAGAAACCTGGAGCAAGGTCGGGGGTGTCCAGCAGGGGCGGGGCGGGGGGGGAGCCGTGGACCCAGGTTGAAGGGGGCCGTAGGGTAGCCTTGTTGACTTGTGAGCAAAGGCTCGAAGGATGAGGAGTGGGCAGTGCAGATACTCAGGGGAAGAACGCTCCAGGCTGATGCAAAGGCGCAGGGTGGGCACGAGCCCAGGACAGCACTGAGGCCAGAGGGCCCGGAGCAGAGGGGCAGGGGCGGGAGATGAGCTCGGCGTGGGGCAGACCCATGGGCCACCGCATGCCCTCTGAGGACTTCAGCAATGGTCCAGTGAGATGGGAGCAGAGGAGGGGCAGGGTCCAACTTAGATTTTAAAAGGCTCCCCCTCACTCTTTGGCTGCTGAGTGGAGGAAAGAGTTTGGGGAGCAGAAGGGAAGCACGGAGATTGCTGGGAAGTGATGATGGTGTCGGGGCGAGGGATGGCCGTGGTGCAGATGGACAGCTGGTTGGATCATCTGGATGTTCTGGAAGATGGACCACCAGGACTGGCTGACAGACTGGATGTGAGGGTGTGGGATAGCAGGTCAGACAGCCCCTGGGGTTTGTCACCTGGAAGGGGTATGTTGCTGTTGGCTGAGGTCAAGACGGCTGGAAAAAGCAGTTTGGGGGTGTGGATTATCAGGTGTTCTGGTCCTGAAATCTGCATTTTATGCTGTCACTGTCTTTCCATTTGAGGGGCAGAGCTTAGACCAGGGCAGGTTTCCTCTGCCCCAAACCTTCTGGAATACAGAAGCAGCACGGCCCCCATCTGCTTCAGGAGCCGCATGCAATGAGAGCAGGACACTCTGGGGCCAGCGGGTGGCTGGAAGAATGTCCCCCTGTTACAGAACTCAGGTTCAGCTTCTCGTCGCTCAAGAATCCGAATACTGAGACTTCCCTGGAGGTCCAGCGGTTAGGACTCTGCCCTTCCACTGCAGGGGGCACAAGCTCTATCCCTGGTTGGGGAACTAAGATCCCACAAGCTACACAGCACAGCCAAAAAAAAGAAAAATCCAATACTGAGAGACAAGTGTTGGGTAAAAGGAAAGGTAGCTTTATTGAGGAAGCTGGCGATCCTGGGAGAAGGTGGACTCACGTCCCAAAGATCCAATTTCCCCATGTCAATCAGGAGGCAAGAGCTTTTAAAGGGGAGTTTCAGGGGTGCTTTGTGGGCAGACGGAGGAGGCTATGTACAGAGCAGCACAGTTAGCTCTGACGGTCATCTTGAAATTGGTCACATGGTCATCTGAGCAGGGCCACCTGATTGTTTTAAGTACAGTTAATCTTCAGCTCCAGGGTCAGTTTGTTCCCATTTCCCTGAGGCCAGTTCTTGGAATTGTGCAGGATGGAGCAGCTTATTTCATGGCTACAGTCTGGTCATCATGCGGTTACTTTTTACACCTGGTGGGGGTTTCAGTAGCTGCAAAACAGCTCAAAGGACATGGCTCAGAATATGACCTATAGCCCTTGCAGAGGGACTAAAAGTCCTTGACTTTGTTTAATGGCTAAACCATTCTTATTTTGTCCCGTTTGACTGCTTTTCTTTGCTTTTGCATTTTCTCATTTCTCCAATTAAACTTATTCTTGGGCTAAAGTTCTACAGATAAGAGGCAGGCGTAGGACGTTGTGGGGTGGAGGGGTGGAGCTGTGCTCCAGGAAGGCCCCATAGGGCCCTGCTCTGTTACACCCCACCTCACCTGCAGGCCAGGCCAGTCTTGGTGGTAGATTCTGAATAGCTCCCATCTTTGCACACAGGTCCTTCCAAAACTGTCGTCTTCCATTATCCACGAGATCGATAGCATTTTGGGCAATAAACCCTACAGCAAAAAGGACTACAGATCCTAAGAAGCCCCCGGCCGTTTGCCTGGACGGTTTCCGTTTCCCTCCTAGCCTCTCTGTTAGCTCGCTTAAGCTATTTTGAAGCCAAGTCAAGAGTGTGGTTCGCTTCAAAAACAAAACAACGCACCAAGATGTCACCAGGAAAAGACTGCAGAAGTCGCTGCCACACACCATCCGCTGCTTCTCAGGACCGCTGTCGGGTTCCTGTCAGGGAGTCAGCATTGATTCGAAGGCACTCGTGCGGTCCCACCCAAGCCTGCCGTCTCTGCTCCTCCTCCAAGAAACCACCATGTTTTCGCCCAGCCATGGGCCGTCTCAGACACTCAAGTCCAGGCCAGGCCAAGAGCAGCTAGGGCCTGGGGGCAGGCAGAGCCGGCCTCTCCTCTGCCGAGAACCCCACCCGGCATTGGGGAAGGGAAGAGGAAGCCAGGTCTGCCTCTTCCTGTGGCCCCTCAGCGGGGCCCTAGTCAGGGCAGGCCTCCCTCTGGGGTCTCCCTCATTCCCCCTCTTGCCAAGGGCTCCAGGTACTTTCCTCGGGCCTGACCTCGGATTCTTCCCCCAACCCCTTCTCCCAACCACCCGCCCCAATGTGTCTCCGAGGGGCCTTCCGAGCTGCCCCTTGACCCACCCCCACCCCACCCCCGCAACCGCCACCTTTCTGGCAGGGGCAGGGATCCAGGGAGATTCGCCCTGCAGTTTGGGACGCACAAAAACTTGGGGGGCTCTGATTTCAAGCTCCTCGCCCCGCTGGCTTCCTCCCTGCAAACAATTGATGAGCCCCAGTGCCTGGGCTCCAGTCCAGGTCCCTCCAGGGCCCCACCTGCCCTCCCTCCCTGCCAGCCGCCCAGTCCTCCGCCCCTCTGTCCTCGCCCCAGAAGGCCCCGAGGTCATACGTGCTCAGCTGGACTGTGGCTGCTGACCACACACCAGGTAGCCAGCCTCTGCTGTGCCCAGGGGGTGGTGGCCTTGGGGTCTGCAGAGGGAACGTGCTGGGACCCTTTCAACGACGGAGAGTCCCTGGGGTTTTCTGTGCTGCGTGCCTGGGGCCTGGGGGCCAGCCAGCAGCAGCCCCCGCGGTCTAGGAAAAGACCCCGGAAGCCTCTCTGTGGAGCAGTGTCCCCTGCGAGGCCTCAGACCAGGTGGGTGGCGTGAGGTGCTCTGTCTTGGGTGCTCAGAGCTTGTAACCAGGGCAGCAGTGCCACCCCCAGGACACCCCCACACAGCCCACGAAGACGGAGGGATGGCTGGGGTCGGTCATTCCTGTCCACACCAGCCCCTCCTCCCCCCAAGCCTGGAACAGACTGGGGACAGGGAGGGAGGGCGGGACATTCACAAGTGTCAGCCCCTTTGCAGCCGGGCCTGGGGCTGCAGGGATGGAGGCGGGGAGGCGGGACGGCCGCCAGGAGGCACAGCCCCCATAGTCCTGAGCGGCACCCAGCCTCTGCTGGCCGTGGTGGGTGGGAGTTGGGGGCCAGGCTCTGCAGACGCCCCAGCCCACCGAATACGGGCCCTCGTGCCCCTGGGCAGACACAGCCCATCCCGCTTTGCCCTTCAGAGAGGCCCCTCCCTGCCATTATTCTCAGAGGGGCCGCTGTCCAGTCCTGGCTGAGCCGAGGCCTGGGAAACTGGCTGTAAGAAAGCCACAAAAGTGGGGGGAGGGGGAGACCTTCCTCTACTCCTGAGCTTTGTGCTGGTCCTGGAGTCTAGAACCTTCTCCCTCTTTGTAGACCAGGCCCCTGGGGGTCGTCTTCACCAAGTCCCCTGCACGCTTCAGCCTGTGGGTGTGGGGAGGGGACAAGCCTGTCCCAGCAGAATCCCCAGCCACTGCCCACCATCACACGGTGGGATCTGGCTCTGAGGACAGGACACTGCAGTGGGGCGGCTTTCATCCCAGGCCCACCCAGGCGGGGACCAAGTGCTCTGGGCCGGGCAGTCCCAGCAGCTGGCCGTGCTCAGGGGCCAGGTTACCGGCCGCTCATTGGCGAGATGGCTGGGCCCCCTCCACACTGCTGTCACCCTGCCCACCCACTGCTGGAAGAGGAAGCAGGGCGTGCAGTCGGGGCCGAGGTCGGGACTGCCACCCACCCCCACCCCATGAGCCGCACCTGGAAAGGCCGAGCCCGCTGGCTGCATGTTTCCCAGACGGAGGGAGACAAGGGCCCCCAGGGTTGAGCTCTACCAAGGCCTAGATGCCCAGCGCAAAGACCCAAGCAGCTTCCCGGCCCTGGGGCACCATCCACGGCCTGGTTCTGTATCCCCGCTGCAAGTGAGTGTGGAGGGATGCCACCCTGCTTCCTGAGGGAGGGTCCCCCGACTTGGGGGGTGCTGGAGTGGGGAAACAGTGGAGTGGGGCCCAAGGGCGGTCAGAGCCTGGAAACAGAAGAGCTGGGCCGAGGCAGGCCCTGGAGGGGCAGCCCGGGCCCCGCCCGGCATGGGTTTCAGACCAGCCAGCCGCACCCCACCTGCTTGAGGGGAAGCCCACCAAGAGCCCCAGCTGCCAGCCAGCCTCTCACCCTCCCCTTGAAGCAGAGTTTGCCCCCAGGGGTCCACCTGGCAGTGCCCCACACGGGAAGAAGATCCAGTCTGGGTCAGGGCAGGACCAGTCTTCCTTGCTAATGACACACAGAGCCCCCAGCATTTTTCACCCTGGATCTACGGCAAATTTGAGGTCCCGAGGACGAGATGGGGGCTTGCTCTGTCTTCTGTTCTCTCCAGTCATGTAAATAATGTGCTACTTTTCTCTCCCTGCCTTTAATGACTGTGGCTCCTCAGCTAACTGCATCCCCTACACAGGCAGAGATGCCATATGCCTCGCACTTCCAAATGACACTCAGTGGAGATGCAGTGCCGTATTTATGGAATGACAAAATAAAACCCAAGCCCGTCAGGGTCTGCGCCCCTCCTTTGTGGGGTCCTCAGGGTCAGGGCTGGGCCAAGGGCAGTGGGAGGGAGAGGAGGCTGCCCCCCTGGAGAGGCCAGCCGGCCGGGCCGAGCAGAGGTTGGGAGAAAGGGGCCCTGGGGGAGAGGCAAAGATTGGGCACCGAGACCCCTTCTCTCCCAAGTGATTCAGGGATGGAAGTTGGTGGGAGGCTGCTGGACCCGCCTGGGGACAGAGGTCAGGGTCCAGGGAGGCCTGTGGGCTGTCTCCAGGGGCTCAGTGTTCCTCTGAGCAGTGCTGTTTCAGGGGGCAGGTGGGAGGGGCGGGCACCATCCCTGAACACCCCTTTTTGGGGCGTCCCCTTCCCAGTGAGCCTTTCAGCCTCATGGGGCCATGTCTCCTCAGGTGGGAGGTGGCTTTAGATAACATTCCTCTCACATCCTTCCCCGGCCACCCCCATCCTAGATCAGTGAGAAGCTAGGAAAACACTCTTTGATCCACTCCTTTACCAAAGGATTTATTAAAACACAGAAAACCAAGACATACACAGAGTACAAAGTAAAGGGAACCGGGTCGGTTACAGTCTTTGTCGAGCCTCTTACACATCCTCCCGAGGACCGGACAGGTGACTACACACAGGGGCTCAGCCTCCAGCTCCGGCTGCCTGGCTGAGACCGTCCCGACTCGCCCCAGCGCCCCGGCCCCTTCGCCAGCTGGGGGCTCTACCAGGCAAGGGGCCGGCCCCTCTCAGCTGGGCCAGATGCCGGCCTGGCTGCAGGCGTCTGCTCCCTCGACCGACCTCCCACGCATGGCTGCAGGCGTCTGCTCCCTCGACCTCCCACGCACCGATGCACGGGCGGGGGGGGGGGCC